AGTTGGCGTCTCACTCTGTCGCCCAGACTGGAGTGCAGTGGCCACTTCCAGCCACCGCAGCCTCGACCTGCTGGGCTCCGGCGATCCTTCCGCCTCAGCCTTCCAAGTAGCTGGAATTACAGGCATGCAATACCACGCCCGGCTGATTTTTTGATTTATTGCAGAGATGAGGTCTTGCTGCCCAGGCGGGTCTCGGACCCGTGGGCTCAGGCAATCCACTCACCTCAGCCTCCCAAAGGCGCGGGATTACAGGCTGAGCTACCGAGCCCAGCTGGTTTCATGGTATATACATATGTTGAAGCTAACCAAGTGTACACACTGAATATGTGAGTTTGTTGTATGTCAATTATATCTCAGTAAAGTTGCCAAAAAAACAACACTGATAAATGACTGCCATTTCTTTCTCCAATGAGAGGTATTTTTAGTGATATATGATGGTTCCTTTGAAAGAGGTTTTTTTTTGGTTCATGTAAACTTCTTTTTTTTTTTTTTCTGAATTGGAGTCTCACTCTGTCACCCAGGCTGGAGTGCAGTGGCCCGCTCACAGTCACTGCAGCCTTGGCCTGCTGGGATCAGGCCATCCTTCCAACTCAGCCCTCCAAGTAGCTAGAACTACAGACACATGCTACCACGCCCGGCTTAGTTTTTGATTTATTGTAGTGACGAGGTCTCACCAAGTTGCCCATGCTGGTCTCGAACCCCTGAGCTCAGGTAATCCTCCCGCCTGAGTCTCCCAAAGAGCTAGAATTACAGGAGTGAGCCACCACGCCTGGCCTATAAACTTTATTTCTATAAACATATTTAATAACTAGTATCACTATCATTCTGTTCTATTTAATAACATATATAATAGCTCTGTTCTTCAATAATAGTTAATTAGCACTGGGCCTGAATATTTAGGGTAGACACTAAGTGAGAATTTTAAAAAAGAATTCAAAATACGCTTGCCAGTCCCAGAACAGTCTTCTTTCAGCTCACTGCCACTATAAGCTTCATGAGCATGATCTGCAAAAGGGACTAAGGGCCAAATATGCTGGTGGAAAAAAATATTTAGTTAACCCAATTTTTAAAAGACACCCTCTCTGCATTTCTCACTGTTTTTTCTCATTCAGAGGAAATACTGTTTTAAAAAGTCATTTCCTTGGAAATTTCATACTAACATTTCAGATGGTTATAAGTTATAATTTACACATCAAATGTGGACTCTTAAATATCCCTAAAGATCATTAAAATAAGTATAGATTTAAATCTATATATCATTAATAAAACTGAGAAATAATTCCTATAAAAGGGATATATTTCAATAAACTTTGCAAGTAGTATACCTGATTAGGAGGTTGAATATGTTGGACACACTGAAATATGTGAACTCCTTGAGCAGAAACAAGGAAAGGATGCAGAGAATGTTGAGACTGACTCGTGGCAATCAGTGCAACCAAACTTCCCATGGAAATAAACTCTTTCGTCATATCGTTCAAAGCTAGAATTAAGCAATATAGTGTAAAACCTCAGGAAAAACAAACACAACTTTTTAAAATTAAACATTCATTCAAAATGATGACACTTTAACACTGAGCTTTAAGATGGAGCACATGTGGTATAGCTCCTTTAGATCTTAAAAAAATTAACACATCCATTCATTCATTGACTTATCTTCTAAGGATCTGACAGAGCCAGGTTCTAATCAATCTACTGGAGGCATAGGAGGACTATAAGCTGAGATGGTATATTCAGAACAATATCTAGTAAGGCTCATCTACTTCTAGATCTTATAATGTAAATGAATGAATAATAAAAAGGCATCTCTGAAATATTCTAGAAGGGTGATAAATTTCCACATTGCGCTCTGTTTATTAAGCATAATACAGCTCATATTCCTATGAATTCCTAAGCAACCTCTTTTCACTAGGTCTTGAAAGGTTTGGTAAGAGAAGGTCAGAATTGGAACAGGTATTAGCCAGGTGCGGTGGCTCAAGTCAGTAATTCCAGCCCTTTGGGAGGCCGAGGTGAGAGGACTACCTGAGTCCAGGTGTTTGAAATCAGCTTGGGCAAGTTTGTGAGACCTTGCCTCTACAATAAATCAAAAAATTAGAGCCGGGCTCGGTGGCTCAGCCTGTAATCCCGCGCCTTTGGGAGGCTGAG